CAATGGATGGTGGCCCAAGGCAGTGGATGGTGGGTCCTTGTCACCCACAGGGAGACCCAGATAAAGCTCCTGACTCCCAGCTTCAGCCCTGGCTGTTGCAGACATTTGGGGAGTGAACCAGTGAATGGAAGCATGGTGCACTCTCTCTCTCCCTGTCACTCTTTTAAATAAATAAATTCATTTAAAAAAAGAGGTGATTAAGTCATGGTGCTTTGTCTTCATGAGTGGGGTAATGCTGTTCTCACTGGAATGGGTTAGTTATGGGGAGAGCAGGGTGTTACAAAGCGAATCTGCCCTGTGCTTTCTCTGGCACACACTTGCTTCCTCTTCTGCTCTTCCACCATGTTATGGCACAGCAGGAGGCCCTCACTGGTTGTGGCCCCTCTGTCTTTGCCCTCCTAGTGTCTAGAATCATGAGCTAAATGCACTTCTTTTCTTTATAAATTACCCAGCTTATGGCGTTGTTATAGCAGCAGAAGATAGACTAAGCAGAAGGGGACCTCAGAAGTCACGCTCTTGAACCCTGTGCTTTATTGATAAGGCAGCCTGAGACAGCTCATGAGTGGCAGGGCTGGGACCTGGGACCTGGGACCTGGGACCTGGGACCTGGCCCAGCCCACACACTGTCCCACTCCCAGATGCCCAGTATTTCTGAGTTTGCAGCAGTTGCTGTCACTAGTTGCTCTTGGGCCTTTTACCTCATTAAATATAAGGATATTTTGGCTTTTCCATAGTTCTTAGTGGTATCAGTCTGACAGAACAGCCTAGGGTAAATGCTACAGGGATCCAGTTGATAAATAGAAGGAGGTGTTTCTTTCTTTCCAGAGACAATGGGCAGAATCCCATCCAGTAGTCTCATTGCTTTGGCAAAGCAACTGGCTCAGCAGACTATCTGCAAATCCAAAGCAATTAAGTGCATTATAATAACAGGGAATGGACCTGACCAGCACTCTCTGTAGATGATATCTGACGTGAGTCAGCCCGGCAGGCCCCTGCCTGCTCCTCTTGATATGCAACAATCCTTTCAAGCTCCAACAAGAGCTATTTAATGGATCTGTGAATCCTTTAGTTTTTTTTTTTTTTTCTCTCTCTCTAAGGAAAATTCAGTTGTGCTTTACTTGGTAGTTCCTTACTACACCCTGATACAAAATTTATAGAATGAGGAACCAGTGCTACCAGGTAAAGCTATAAAATTTTCCCTGAAGATTATACTCGGTATCTTTAACTCTGATGGGAGGGCCTCACTTCAGACTTTCAGTTCTTGGCTACCTAGCCACACATAACTATGCTTTCTTGAACCAGGCTATGAAAGGGTCCTTGACAGCTGTCTGGAGAGCAGGAGAGGGTCAGTCTGACTGGAATGGAAATCACCTGTTCTATTCTGTGACTTAGGCACACTAGCCTCTCCTGCACACTCTGTTCTTGTTGACATACTTCCACAAGAGTCCATAGAGCTGGCCAGGTCACCTCTGGGAAGGAATCAAGGGTACCACACTAGAATAGCTATACTAAGCACTAGAGTAAAACCAGATGAACTTGTGTAGTGGCCTTAAAAGCCATAGTAATTCTCTTTCCATTTTTTTTATAACCCTGGACATTTTTGCCCCAAACAGATTATGATCTGGCCCTACCTCCCATTGGTCATCTTACTTTTTCTAGACTACATGTATCCCCAGTCCAGGGGATACATACAGTCTTCTTCCTCCTTTGTGCTTATGTAATCAATGGGAGTGAGCAGTCTGGGATCACATGATCATTGAAACAAGCCCTGGGCCTAGAACTCTGAAGATCCCCACTCTGACCCACCCTTGCCTCTTTTCCTTCTTCCCCTTCACTCTCCCTCTGCAGGCATGTTTAGCTTTCAACACTGCCCACTCATCCCTCTATTTATTCTTGCAGCCTGTGAAGGGATACTAATGTAGTTGTTGACCTTCAGTTCCAAGCCTCTGGCTTCTCTCTGGGCTCCTGCTGACCCAGTCTGATTCCCTGGTCAAGCATGTTGTTGATGCTCTTACTGGCTTTCTGTGAAACCTGCTTTGCCAAGCCCTTGGCTTGGATAAACCAGGGCCACCTGTATTCTCTGTTTTATATTGCTAGAGGAAACAATGAAATGTAATCTGTTGTTCCCATTTCAAATTCATGCTACCCAACCTCAGTCAACAGTGTATGAATGTACAAGCTAATATAACTCTTTAGCAAATTATTTGGCAGTATCTGTTACTCATTGTTCTAGTAATCTCACCTTAAGGACTCAGTCCTGTAGAAACAGAGTGCAAGATACACTTTGTAGCATTTCAGGTAGAGAAGAGTTGGCAGATAACACTCATGCCCATTGGTAGAAACAGGTTATATAAACTGATACATGGACACTATACAATATTTTTTTACAGATTTATTTATGTATTTGAATGGCTGAGTGAAGGGGAGGGAGAGAAAAAGAGAAATCTTCTGTCCACTAATTGACTCCAAATGCCCACAACAGTCAGGGCTGGGCTGAAGCTAGGAGCTCTACCCAGGTCTCCCACATGGGTGGCAGGAACCCAAGCACTTGGATGGTCATCTGCTGCCTTCCCAGGTGCATTAACAGGAAGCTGGATTAGAAGCAGAACGGCTGGAAGTCAAACCAGCACTCTGATATGGGATGCAGATATTACAAGCTGCACCACAATGCCCACCCCAACACTGTGTAATATTAAACAAAAAAGAAGAGACCACTGGCCTTAAAAAATGTCCATGATATATTGTTAAACATAAAGCGAGTTGTAGGCCAGTACAGTTTGGGTCGAAAAATCTCTCTTTCATGGTTGTCAGTATGGCTGTGATTAAGAAATCAGGAAGGATGTGCCTAGAGCAAACCCAGGGACCTCTGGGAAATGAGAGGATTGGGAGATGGGGTGAGAGATAGAGAGCAAAGATTTTCACACCCTTTCTGCTTTTTTATAAAACAGCATGATTTTGAGTAATTTCTGACTTTTTGTATGTTTTGGGTGTTTCTTCAAATAAATTAAAAGTATTGGAATCAGTCATTCAAAAATTTAAAGGGTATTTTGACTCAGTACACTTGTGATATTTGAATACTTGAAACCAAGTGAAGCCAACTGTTCTCTCTGCAGTTAGTACATAGTTATGTACTGCAGGAAAATTCTAGACTGAACTGAGGAGTTTGTTCATGCACTTCCTCCTCATGCAGAATTCAGTTAGTCTGTGCTCTGCATCACTTGTATAGTGCAGCCTGGGTTTGTGAATGAAGTAAATACAAGCAAAATCTCCCTTTCATTAACATCCATATCTACACGGCCTACTTGTATTTGCATGTACAGACCATAATCTCCTGTAAAATACTTTGTGTTAGTTCTGAACAATAATCAACTATACCTTATACACAAAGGGAAAACCCGTTTATCTTTCATCTTTGAAACCATAGCAGAGGTATGAAATTACACTCGAACATGCCCGGCGTCAAAGTTGCAGGAAAGTCTTTGACCCCCATTTCAACTCCAGAAGTCATAGGTCTTCCTTGTAATTGGAGAGAAAATTCACTGAAGAGCTAAATGTATACCACACACCCACAGATTTGCTCTGATTCTCGCAAAGCACCAAAGCGTTTACTCCAAATTGTCATTGTTCTGTAGTTAGCTCTTTCATTCTCAATGAAACGCACCCTATTCCCTGAGGTCTCACTTGAATTCTTGCCTTCCTTTGTGCCACCTTCCTTCCATCTATGCCTTTGTAACACAGTATTCCTTGTGATATCAATATTATGTTTATGTCTTTGTTACACTACTAGATTAGAATCTTGAGGCAGCAGATTTTTTTATGTCCATATCCCAGGGCCTAGAATGGTTTCTTACACCACTAAATGTTCAATAAATGTATCCTGAATTAGATACATCCCAGAAAGCCAGTTGCTGGATATACTTTCAAATCAGTGGATATATGTGTGTTATATGTATACTTCAAGAAAAAGTAAAATTCAATGCTGTAATAAAATAGCCACTGATTTGCTGAAGAACTGAATATAAACTGACTTTTTAGAGAAACTCAACAGGAGATTTACAGTCTAGTACTAATGTTCAGAGGTGGATAATCAATAAATACATTCAGAGCAGTTACCCAGATCCTGGGTCTGTCTTGGGAATTCTTACCACTGAAAGAGTTTCATTGGCCATCTGATGTAAGAAAGTTTTTGAACAACCTAAATCCATGCTAAACATGAAGCACTGTTACAAGGGCATCCTCAGGCATTTTTTTTTTTTTAATTTGAAATTTACTTGAATGGCAGGGAAACAGAGAAACAGAGAACGTCCTTGATTCACTGGTTCATTCCCCAAATGGTCAGTCTGCAACAGCTAGGGCTGGGCCAAGACAACACCAGGAGCCCTCAATTCAATCTGGGTCTCCCATGTGTGTGGCAGGGACCCAAGTACTTGAGCTGTCACCTGCTGCCCCAGGGTACACGTTAGCGGGAGGCCGGAGTCGGCAGCAGAGCTGGAACTTGAACTGAGGCACTCCAGTATGGAATGTGGGCATCCAAGTAGCATCTTAACTGTCTTCCAAATACTTGCCTCACCCACAGGCATTTTAAAATCATAGTTTCAAGGCCATTTACTAGAATATTTTTCTTAAATCTGAAAGCAAACTTTAACATTGGTTATTCTCCCAAAGAAGCTAATTAAGTAATTTAACTGGTACTGCAAGTGTATAAGACATCAACACGTGGGGCATTTCTTCTCAGGGTCTTGACCTGCAATTTAGATTACTACCATCAGATGCACAGTGACAGTTACTTTTGGTCTTCATGGTAGTTTCCAACCAGAGTTAGGTTATATTAGGTTAATCATGCAGTCATCTTCCCCTTAGTTTGCAAAATAATGAATATAAGCTGTTTATTACTTAGTGAAGCATAAATACTTAAAGTTCAAACCAAATAGTGTCTGTTTCACAGACAATTGGTCCCTGGGTACTAGAGGGGACTGTCAAAGAACAAAATTTCAAACAGATTGCATTTTAAAGTTCGAATTGGCTTTTATTAGCAGCTCACAAACCAGGCAGTATCTAGTCTACAAAATGGGAGAAGCTCCTCTGGTCAGGGCAGAACAGTCAGTCTTTGTAAGGCTTAGCTGGAAGAAGGAAACAGCATCCTGTAAAAAAAAGAAAAAGTTCATTGATTAGCAACGGATTACTGCACGATACTTTCTTTGCATGGGTTAAAGCAGAAGGTACTTCTTTATCACACCAGCCCAGACTGGCCCCTTTAGATTGATGTCGTAAATCTCCTAGTTTTAAACTCCTCCAGAAAACTGGCACATTTGGAGATGAGATTATCTTCTTCCTCTTGAGTTTCTCAGATGTTCAGATTGCACCAGTAGACACCTTAGGTTCCAGTTCGGTGCCATGGAACCTTAGCTTGAATGACTGCATTTTGGGTTGGTCTTTTGGGACCTAGTCCAGGAGTTCAATCTACACCAGTGGCCCTGCCTGGATTATATCTAACAGGACCTTCCCATCAGTCTGTCAGTGTCTGTAGTCATGTTAATCCATCCCCACATGAACTACACGTCCAGCTGCGGGTTGAGAGTAGGTCCCTGTTGTGAGCTCTCAGGTGTAAATCTTTAACTGTTCTTGGGCATCCAGAGCTTTCAGCTCCCTAAGCAGAAATGAGACCTGGCACTCACTTTATAAACCAACGAAAGTGCAAAATTCTGTCACTTAGCCAGCTGTCTCTTTGCTCAAAAAATTCTTGGCAGCACTTAACACATTTTGCCTAAACATAAGGTAATTCCCTCCTGTTCACAATGAGGTTTTACAAATGGAGTTTTTCTTTAGCCTACTTGAAGACAGAAAATATTCAACCCTGCAATGCCTGAAAATTTCTGAAGGTGATTTTGCAAAGCAACCCATGTCCAGACCTCACACCACATCAATTAAATGAGAATCCCTCTAGCCAGCATTGATGAAAATTAACATTGAGCTTTAGGGAGGGAGACAATTTATCTAAGTGCATACCTGTATGATTTATGAATTTCCTCCCATAGTTAATGCCATAGCTTGTTTTACTTTGGAGGTGCAACCTTCCCCACATCTTTCCCATCGGAAAATGTTGTTCACACAGTGTTTCTGCTTGGTTCCATGTCTGTGTCCTCTCACCCAGGCTACACTGCTTTGTAGAGTTCATCATCTTCCTGATGCCCATGTCATCTGTAAGAAAGCATGTGTTTGGTCTTATTACTATTATGACAAAATAAACACACCACAAAGTTTACCATCTTAACAGTTTTGAAGTACACAGTCCAGGGGCATTCAATACATTCGTATCGTTGTGCAACTATCATCACTGTCCATTCATGGAGCTTTCTCGTCTTCCCAAACTGAAACTCTGTCCCCATTGAACAACTCCCCATATCCCCTCCACCAGTCTCCTTTCTGTCTCTATGAATTTGGCTCCTCTGGATACCTCATTTGAGTGATCATACAGTATTTGTCCTTCTGTGACTGGTTTATTTCACTTAACCTAATGTCCTCAGGGTTCATCCAGGTGGTAGCATGTGTCAGAATTTCTTCTTCTTAAGGCTGAATAATACTCCATTGTATACCACCATATACAACATTTTTAAACCCATACGACCATTGATGGGCACTTGTGTTGCTTCTGCCTTGCCATTTTTGTGAATCATGTTGCTGTGAAACATGGGTGTACAAATATGTTTTCAAGACCTGGCTTGTAATTCTCTTGGGTGTATACACAAAAGTGGAATTGATGTGTTGTGTGGCAATTCTATTTTTAATTTTTTGGGTAACCTGTATCTGTTTTCCCAGCAACTGCACCACTTAACATTCCCACCAGCAGTGTACACAGATTCTGATATCTCTACTTTGTCACCAAGACTGTTGGGTTTTTTTGTTTTATTTTTGTGTTTTGCTTTTTGATAGCTGGTATTGTAATGCATAGGAGGTAGCCAAAGCACTTTTTTTTTTTTGGCCAGGAAGACTTAGACAGTGAGAGGGAGAGACAGAGAGAGAGTTATAGACAGTGAGAGAGAGAGACAGAGAGAAAGGTCTTCCTTCCGTTGGTTCACCCCCAAAATGGCTGCTACGGCCAGTACTGCGCCAATCCGAAGCCAGGAGCCAGGTGCATCCTCGTGGTCTCCCATGCTGGTGCAGGGCCCAAGCACTTGGGCCATCCTCCACTGCCTTTCCGGGCCACAGCAGAAAGCTGGACTGGAAGAGGGGCAACCGGGACTAGAACCCAAGGTGCCGGTGCTGCAGGCAGAGGATTAGGCTAGTGAGCCGCGGCGCCGGCCATGAGAGCACTTTTGAGCTGTCTGCAAACATGGTTTCCCATCTATTTACATAGCATTAGGGCAGGGTTTTACTTTGTTTTTGTTTTAAAAGATTATCCTGTGATGGTGTCTTTGCAGTTTCCACAGTGTATTACTATTTTGAAATCATACTCCCAGGAAAAATCACTATATCTGGGTTAAATTGTCTTGCCTCCTCTTTCTCTCCAGGTTAGTGAAGCCACACATGTGTTTTCCATAAACACTAATTTCACTGTTCAAAGTAATGTCTCACAGAGTACCCTATAAAGCCAGAGTACTTATGGAAACTTGGATTTAAGGAAATTCCTGCTGTCTTTAAGGATAATTTAAACACTTTGTTAACGTTACATTCAAGTATATGTGGTAATTGGAGTAGATGTTTAAAAAGAAGGGAAAGGATGGCCAAATAGCAACTGGATGCTACCATTTGGCTTAAAAATGCCATAACTCCCTGCTGCACCACAACACTCACCCCAAAACTGAAATTTTCATTTCTTTAGCAGTCACTGTTTTTATAAACTGAGTCCTTTCATACACCATTGTCTTTCATATACACAGTCAGCCTCACTCAGAAACCATTCTCTTCTATAAAACCAGCACTTTATATAGTTGAACTTCGCTCAGAATGAAGGCAATGTGTTTAGATAGAAATTTTCAGTGTTTGTTACTTGTGCAGTGGTGGCTCTGTGCTCCTAGGTGTTTGGATGTCAGGAACTGACCCAATAAAGGGTTACTTGCGTGGCACATGGGGTGCACCCCAGCTGTGATCAGGTAAGATGAGTGGATCTGGTTTGCAGCTGCTTTACCCCAGAAACACACAGCAACTTATGGTCAATCAGGTAGAGTCAAATTCATGTAAAGTTAGGGATTGGCAAGCACTCAGGTGCTTGGAGGTGACTAAGTGAACAGAAAGACAGGTGAGACCTGAAGGGGACTTTGGAGGATGAGGACAAGAACTGGTGACCAAGAGGACAAGGCTAAAGAGCATGATGAGGGGATGAGGGAAGGGTAAGGAGAGCATCACAGAGAACTGCAGCCCATGCCCTGCTCTAGAAAACATGGGCTCCCTTCAGTATTCCTGTCCTCTTTCCTCTTCCCTCTCACCATCCTTCCTGCCACAGTCTTGGCATTACCCCCGTATCAGAGACAAGCCTATCGCCACAGTGCAGATTGGACAAGTCCCTGTTGCCTCATGATCTGTAGTGCAGTGCAGGAGACTCCAAACCCAGCAGAACAATCTGCTCATGGGTGACAACGTACAGGATGCTGTGGCACACACAGGGCACAGAACCCACACTAGGGGTTTGGAGAAGGTGCCCTAGAGGAAGTGATGTCTGAGCTGGGGCCTTGCAGATATGGGGAGGTTCAGCAGATTGAAGGGCTGGGCAACCCTGGGCAGTGGTTCCAGGCAGACAGAACTGCATATGTGTCATCTGGCCACCTCCATGTCCTCACCACCCACCAGGGACAAGCTGGTGCTCACTTCTACCACCCCGCTAGAACCATTGTCAGAATCTCTACTCGACTCCTCCTCACCAAGTCTTAGGTCACTCAGTCCTCAGAACCATGACCTTCCTGTGCCTCATGCTTTGCTTCTCTTCTCTCTGGCATTCTCTTTCCTTTCTAATTGCTTCCCCTGCCACCAAAATGCAGGCACTGCCAGTCTCTTCTTCTGTAGTCCCTTCAAGGTCCATATTTTCATCTCCTTCCTTGGACTCTCTCTCTGGGCCCAGGACCATGTTTTCAGCCCCCATAGGAATCACAAACTTGTCATGTGAGCCTGACCTGATCATCTTCTCCATCATCTCTTCAGAACTTGCTCTCCATTTCAGCTCCTTTGACTGTGTGTCTGCAGTAGCTCTTGCTTCGTCCCCTCCTCTTCAGATGGGTGCTTTGGGGTCTCATTAATCCTTGCCTGTGAATCAGCCTCCCCTACCACCTGGCCTCCAAACTGTCCCCAACCCCCACATGTCCTGCAATCTGCAGCCAGGCAGGTATTCCCTGCACTGATCCTGGATAGCTCTGAGGATGCCCTACTTCCAGGGAGAGCCCTTGAGTGATGCCCATTGTCTGTGAGAGGAAGTCCAGCTCTTTGGACAGACTCCCTCTCATCTCCCTCTTGCCCCACACATTGCCTTTGCTAAAGACAAAATGCCTCACAGGGGCCCTGTTCTTTTCCATGTCCTTGTCAACTCCTGAGTGCTGCTGGCTAAATGCCCCTCCCTCCTAAGGACTTCAGCAGGCCCCTCAAATCTTGCAGTCTGGAAGAAACTGCCTCTGATTTTTTTTTTTTTTTTCATCAACAGAAAGCTCTCCTCTCTGACTTTATCTGTACCTTCCTGTTGAGATGCACCATCCTCTGGCTCACACTTTATTTATTTGTGTGGTCTCTATTCCCCTGGCAGACCTGGGAGCAGGCCTTGAGGGCAAGGGTTCAGGTTCCAACACGGGGTCTTGTGCATATTAACTGCTCAATAAATAGGTGTTAAGTATAGGCAGAAGTGTGGTTTCAGTTAGACCATAAAAACCACAAAAATAAGTCTTTTCTAGTTTCACTCTTCAAAAAAAAAAAAAAACTAAGCTAAAAAGTATTATAATCTAGTAATCAGAGCCAGGAACAAAAAAAAACATAGATAGTAATCTAAATTCTGTCTTCATCAACCTTTACAAGTAAATCTGAGTCATGTTCCCTGTCTACATCATGGAGATGATTTTTGCCAGACATTGACTTTGGTAACATTTTCTCCAGCTTATAAGGAATCAAGTCAAATGTGCCATGTAGCATCGTTTTTATTTATAGAAAAGTTCATGTTTGAACAGAGACCTCAAATACCACAAAAATCTGTCAAGTTCGAACATTTGTGTCTCTCATCATGACCTGAAGTTCCTGTTTCCAGTTCAGTGAGCAGAACCGTGACTGTGTTGATAAAAGGGCATACACACCTGCCCAATCCTGCTGGAGCTCTGCAGATGTGCAAAGGCAGGTCCTCACACGACCTGTGGAGCAGTGAGCAGTGGCCCAACACTGTGGCTCTGAGCTTACCCTTGGAAAGTTGCACAGAGGGCAATTGCTCTTCCTTCAGACTTCCTGTAACTCTTATATACACACTGTCTTCCTTTCCTTCTATATCTCCCTCTCTGTGTGTCTCTCACACATACAAACATACACACAACACACCTATAACTGAGTAAGGGGAATGTGGGAAGAAAAACATGATTTATGGTAAGCAGGTTGATTTTTTTTTTCACTGAAGATAGTGATAAGGAAAGGAACTCAAACATAAGCAAGAAAATCTAGCAGATAAGATATAGAATGCTGTTGTGTGGGAAAAAAATGGACTTGTGATTGGACAGCAGTTGTCTCCACACTGCTAAGGCGTGAAGGGAAATGTTTCTTAGAGGATCCAGAGAGAAAGACTGGCTGAAATTCTTAAAACACGCTGACCCCGGGAGTTAACCCATCTTTAAGAGTGGAACTCTCTCAGACCTGAGGATGCAGAGAGACCTGAGCTGCACCTGAGCTGAGTGAATCCAACAGCCACCTGAGGACGCAGGTGGGGAATCTGAGAGCAGCATTAGTAGTGATGGGCCTGTCTCAACCTAGTGCTTCCTCTGTGGTGCCATGGATGGAGGGGGGACATTAGCTAGTTGAGAGACGTTAGTTACATAAAGGCAGATATTAACACCAACAAAGGTATGCTGGATCTAGACTCCTCTCCTGGCTTCATGGAAAATATACACACATGCACGCGCACTCACATGCACACACACAACACACACACACACACTCACTCACCTCCAAAGAAGATCAGAGTGTATCCCTTATGCTGTGTATGCTGTAGTATGGCCTCAGTTGTGAAAATAGAACTTCAGTTGGAT